GTGCCGGCCCGGGGCTCCCCCCTGCCGCCTCGCGGGGAGCCGTGGGCTTCGGAGCGGGGGTGTCTGTGAGAGCGGCTCCCCGCGCTCCTCCAAACGGAGCGCCCCGATCGCGGAGTGCGCTGGGGAAAGCGGCTGCTCCCTGCTCAAAATCCCTTTTCTAGTCGCATTTTTATCCATGAAGCACCTTTAAATTACCCCTGTGACTTGCGTCTATCTCCAGAAGTGGTCCAAATTAATAATGAACCAATAAATATCCCTGTTGACTAATCTTATTTAGCGTTATTAATAAACTGTTAATGGATTTAGGTGCATTGGTTGCTCACTGAATGCAGTTGTGCCGTTTATCCTGCTTCCTTTACCATTCACACAATCTTTGTCCCAACTTTTGGGTGGATTACTGTAGTTTGCACAGCGCTTGAAATATGGTCTTCTTGCTCAGAGAATGCAAGTATGCAAAGAAAATCAGTTGTGGTTTTTATCTTAGAGTAACCACAAAGTATTTTATGAGAGCTGGGGCAAAGGGAGCCAAATGAGTGTATTATTTCTTTAAAACCTGCTGTCTGGGCAATTTTGAGTTGTTAAAAAATATTTTCACATTTAGGATACTGATTTTCAGTCAAAGCTTCAAGGTACCGTAGAGAGGTGAAAGCTGAGCCTGGAATTCAGTTCAGGGAACCAGAGAGATTTGTCTCTTGATATATATCATGCAATAAGGAATTTAAAAGCTGAGAATGATGCAAAGAAAAACAGTGGTTGCAAGTAAGGCACTGTGTGTTTGGTGCAACTATGCAACTCATCTAAATTATTCTCAATTATGTTTAACTTTACTGCTGGTGTAGAGACTTGGAGACTTTTTGGGCAGATGAGAGTAGACAGCATCACGTTCATGTAACAATGCAAGAAAAAAGTGCTGTTTGTAGGAAAGAGGATGGATAGGGCAGCAAAACAGGAGTGAAAATGATCCTGCTTAGGAGTGCCAGGAGGGAGGTGTGGTGGTGCTGCATGTGTTTTATGGTAATCCTGCCTTGCTCACCCGTCCTGCTTACTTCCTCACCCTTACCCGTCTGAGCAGGACCTTGTACCTGCTGCGTTGGACAGCCTGTCTTCTGCTTTGTCTCTTTATTCTGTGCCATTTTTATTGTATGTTGTTTTATACTTGCTTAGACTGTTCGCTTTGCAGGTTAATGTTCTTGCCACTCCCTGATACACAGCAAATATTAATTTGAAATGCATTACTTGTATAAATAAGAACAGGTAACATAATATGGATGCTGTCTGCCATGGGCGCTATTCTAGGTCCTCATCACATACCATAGCAGAAGGGCTGAGTGCTGTTAATGCAGATACTATTGATTCTTCTTCCCCTTTCAAACTTGTAAAGAACAATTTGATGAGTTGGGAGGCATTTGGTCCTTTCATTCCTCTCTCTCTGCAGTCCTGGTGGATGCTGTACAGTGAAAGGATTTGCTTTAATTAAGTTAGACATAAAAGATCGATGGTCTCTTGCTGCAGTATTATAGGGCAAAGAGAGCAGTTTGAGCAAGGTAACCCACGTTTGGGGTGCATTTCTGCAGTGGCTACAAGGTTAATTTGGATGCTGCTCACGTACTATTAACCAGCTTCAACCACAGATGTGATTTTGGAGGTGTCTAGGGATGAAGGGGACGTTTTTGCCTCATCTTAGAAAGCTTGGGCTGTGAATTACTTTGTCTCAGGAGGTTTGCATGGTGATGAAAAATTGAATCAGTGACTGATTATTGTTGTGATGTGGTGGAATTTGACAGATTCCCACCTATAGTTAGTTTGTTTCAAAGGTCTGAATCTCTTGTCGTCTTGTAAGTATTATTCCTAAAGAATCTAAGGGCCAGCGGAAGAGTTTTCTGCTTTTGATGTAGTAAAGGTGGCCTAAATGGTAAGCTTTTCCCAGTATAACAGTGGCAAAATTTTGACTTGCCTCTTTCATTTGGTTTCCTTTTAGTAGGAGTAAAGCTGAGAAACTCAAAAGTGCAACTTTGTTCAGTTCCGCTTTAAGTATGTGCATGCCTGTCTGCTTGCTTTGCCATTCCAGAATAAACTGTAGGGAGAGGGGAATCCCCTTCCTGGTGTAAGCAAGCCCGTCTGAGGGGACTGCCATTTCTAAGCTGTGTTGGCCAGCAAACGCCAGGACAAGATTCTCTCCTTGAAACAACGTGTCTCTATTTTGTATACGGAACAAGCTTGAAAGACTAGTGTTATTTTTTCCTGAACGTACAGTAATTTTGGAGATGACATTCCCTTTGTTTTCCAAATGTGTAAATGGTCACTCTTGTGATTTCAATCCACTATACACTAACAAGTAACTTCAGGGAAGAACTGTCTCAAAGCAAAAATCAAGAGGCTTGTCAACATCTGGTGGGGTTTAAGAATGATCGAAAATGCTCAGAGTAAAGTGGTACCTTGTGAGCCTGGTACAATATAACGGTGGCCTAGCAAAGGTTTGTTTAGGTTGCATTTCAGTATGTATTAGTTGTATATTATTTTATGCCCAGGGCTTTGATTGAAAATTGGGCCTTTCCTTCGGTCTTTACGGATTCTAGTACCGCTTTGGTGATAGTGTATCCAGCCTGGGGTCCAAGGGTTGTAGGGCGGTGGAATCCAGCGTTTCCTGTTCCGGAGAGCACAGATCTGCCCTGGTTCCTGTCTAACCACAGCACGGTAGCTGTATCGGTGAGCCTGGCGATACAACCTGTGCTGGTTGTATCCGTTCTACCTGTGCTGACACTACTTCTTACAAACCTTGCCCGTGTTTTGTTTTATAGCAACCTTGACAGTTATTTTCTGAAGAATTTTTCTTTGGGGATATTTCTTGATGTTTTTTTTCCAGTGAGCTCAATATATTAACCTTAAAGTTGGCTTATGTTTAGTGATAGCAATTTGTTTAAAAATACACAAAACTGGAAGCTTTCCTTTTTGTATGTAAGTAGTAAATTACAGCAGATGGTGTTGTGTGCCAAGTGGCACACTGCTGCTTTTACCAGCTTCCATGGAAACTTCACCTTTGGGCAAATAACAGTTGCTTTCCTCCTCTTTGGTAAAAATCTCGTGTCTGTTTCTTGTTGTTAATATCTTCATGTATATTCTCAAGTTTAAGGGATTGCCCCTCCCCAGTTAGAAAGGGAAAAAGTCTGACTGTTGGTCATGGTATTTTTCCAATTTAGAGTTTGTGTACATATACACTTTGTGGACACTTTGTACCACATTATTTAAAAAAATGTGGAGAGAGAAATTTGCAAACTCAGCTCGTTTGTCCAGTCACCAGTGGCAAATTCCAGAACAGAGCAAGTTATCAGGGTTTTTACTACTCCTTATTTTGTCCTTTTTTCCTTTTTGGTTAGGAAAGCTCCAAGGTTTCGTGTCTGAACTCTGGGTGCTGCCAGGAAGTTTTAATTTGCTCCTGTGTTGTGCCGCCTTTGCCTGTTATTTTACTCAGCCTGACAGGTGTCTCAGCAAACTGTGTTCTTATTCTGGTTAGCGCTTCTGAGCTTTAAACCTTTCATGGGTAAGGAAGAAACAGCAGGCATGAGGTTTTGGTATTTGTAAATAAATAAAGTAAAAGCAAGTTGCATGTGCATAGCTCAGGTAACCACAAAGAGCAGAATGGGGAAGTACCTTAAATATAATGTCAGTGAACATTGGTTCCTAAATTTAAAGCACTTACATTTGTGCTTTCCATCTGTACCATGGTTGCACCTGTCGAATTTTTGGAGCTTTGAAAGTTTACTGTAAAGAACTGAAGAAGAACCTGTGAAGATTTGGAGTGAATGATATGGGTAATGTAGAGCTTTTAGTTACTTTTCCTGTATAGACTTTCAGTTTTTGGAAGTTTAGTCCCAGCAAGTTCACCCAAAGGCTGGCGCTGTGACTTCTGCTCTGTAAAAATTAATCCGTGAAGACTATTTTTGCTTTAGAATGGAGTGTCTCCAGTTTCTGCTCTTGTTTGGGTGGGTAGATTTCAGGCTAATGAAAACAAGGAAAGAAAGTGAGGCACCTTAGAGGCACCTCATGCCCGAGGGTATAGCCTGAGCTGTTGCTCTGGTCGTGGTTTTGGTTCAAAGGGCTCCTGCTGTTTGTTTCCGTTCTCACACCGTCCTCAGCTTGCATCGACAGAGCTTTTTATGGGGCTGGGTAATAAACAGAGTTTAGAATTTCTAGATTAAAAGTAGCTTTCTGGAAGAAAAAGAATTGTGTTATTGCTAACCTTGATCAGCATCCCTTGCTGGTTTGCTGCCCAGCTGCAGGAACCACTCTGCTACCGTAGCTGGGGCAGGAGGGTGCTGAGGAGCTTCTGCCTCATCTGCAGCTGAAAGATGTGCTTAAACTGCTGCTTCTAACTTGACTTTTCACCTAAGTGTCTGTTATTGCAGTACTTCACTTTGTACATCACAGACCCTAAAAGTCCAGTTTTGTAGGTCTTCACAGCTCTCATTAGAATGTCTTTAATTATATCACAGCATGTTACATTGGAGTCTTATACTTTAATTAAGGTTGGGATTTGAGTACAATTGTCCAGCAGTTTGAGAGCATCTCTGGTGCTTTTAAGACTAATAATACATATGTGGTTGTGCTCATAACAAAAAGCCCTGGTTCTGAGCCAGGCACTCAGGTCTAGGTTTTGAACAAACAGAAAATACAAAGGCAATCCCTGTCCCCAACCAAATTATTCTGAATGGGGAACTAAAAAAGAAAACCCAGAAGAAGAATTGGAGTTTTTTGAAGGGCAAGTGAATGATGAGGCAGTGCTGTTTGACATTAAGGGTTCATTACTTTAGGCCCTCCAACTCTTCACAGTAGACATCATGGGAAAGGAATTTTTGAAGGAGGCTGCTGAATTTTGGAGGTGTTGTAATGAACTCTTTGAGCCTCGGGCCTTGCTTGAGAATTAAATATAAATGTTTTTCTTTCCTTGCCTGAAAGCATCTGGCAACTTCTAATGGTCTAGTATTGTTAGTGTGGTGAGTCTGAGCTTCTGCAGCGAGTGCAGCTATTTCTGTTTCCTTCTGGCAGACCCAAGAGAACGCTGTACAGCAAGAAGTATGGAGTGGACCTCATCAGGTACACGCACGCTGCCAACACGGTGGTCTACAGCTCCAACAAAATAGATGGTAAGTGCCCAGATGGAGCTTCATGGCAAGTTTTTATTTATTCATTTATATTTGGGTTTTAATTTAAAATTCAAATTTAGCAATTTGCACAGATACATTCAATAATTCTTCTATGCAATAATATTTCTTTGTAATGTTTCAGATTGTCTCAATATTGCTTTGTAGTCGTAGTCTTGCAACCAGAAGTTCAGAGTGTTCGTCCTTCAGAATTGCATTATTATCAGTCTTTAGTGAGGATAGAAAGAGTGGGAAAATACTTGTTGCTTGTACTAACTGCAAGGCTAATGAAAACTATCAGTGCATTTTGTACCTATGCTCTGGGGTCCACATGCCTTAGTACTAGTCTAATACATGTACTCTTGGGCAAGGAGCGTTGCATTTGGCCTACCTTGCTGTTACCAGAAGAGAAAATGAAGCCAGATGTGTTGTAGGAGGGCTGACACTTGCTCCCAAACACTCGGTTTATGTTGGAGTTGCTGCGATTTGTTTATTTCGGAAGAGTTTCTCAAGACGTGTGAGCTGAGTCGCGCCTGCCTGCTCCCAGGCTGAGGTAGTAGTTTGTACAGTTTGAGGGTCTATGATACCACCCGGTACAGGAGATAACTGTACAGGCCACTGCCTTGCCTGGGACAGAGCGCTGCCGCCGGGGACCCTCTCAGCTGCGTTTCCCCCATGCCTCCTCTTAAAAGAAACCCAAGTTCTGCACGGATCCTTCTGGAATCAGGTAATGCCAGTCCTTGCAGGAGAACACGAGATGTGTGTGTGAACAGCCTGCTTGGAGCACGTTCCGTCCGCTCATATCGGAATGTGAAACTTACTTTTGTGCGTTAATGTTTTTGGGATAGTTATTTAAGCCTTCTAGAGCCTCTAGAATGGTGTGTGGTCAGGATTGTTTCCCATTTGATGAGTTGCCCTTAATTTTGTTGTCAAATATTAGAGGATAGTGTGGAACTCTGATCTCAGCAGGATGGGAAGTTTCAGGCAAAAAGTGGTGATTTCCAAGGCAGAAAAACTCTCAACTCAAATTCTTATTTCTCTGTCCCTCTCTCGAGGTTGCACCTGACTAAATGCAGAGAGTTCATAAAGGTGTTGATTATTCGATTAAAAACTTTTCGGTTTAAGACTTGCTATTTTTTAGTGTTCCTGTCCTGGCTTTGCAGTCCATATTCATCTACTCTCTGGCTAAGTGCTGGAATTCATGCATTTTCTATGCTTATTGTTTGCCTGGAGACAAAGCAAAAAAAGGTGGTGAAATCAACTTGTAGAGTCCAGATTTTATGAGAATGATGGAATAAAATCTTCTAATGCTTTAAAAGTTAATTTATAATTTGCTACTGGAGTGAGCCCAGTGGAGGGCTACTAAAATGGTTGAGGGACTGGAGCATCCCTCATATGAGGAAAGGCTGAGAGTTGGGCCTGTCAACCTGGAGAAGAGAAGGCTGAGAGGGATCTTATCAGTGTGTAAGTGTTTGAAAGGAGGGTGTAGAGAGGATGGGGCCAGACTCTACTCAGCGGTGCCCAGCGGTAGGGTAAGAGGCAAAACTTCACTCTGAGGGTAATAGAGCACTGGGGCAGGCTGCCCAGAGAGGCTGGGGAGACTCCATCCTTGTAAGATACTCAAGAGGGCCGTGGCCACCTGCTCTGGGTGACCCTGCTTGAGCAGGGGGAGTTGCACTGAATGGTCTCCAGAGGTTCCGTCCAACATCAACCGTTCTGCGATTCTGTTAAAAGTCATGTGGCAGTTGATAAATCTTAACGTGCTTGGACTATGGAAAATACCCTTCCTGACGCTTTCCATTCTCGCTGGTGGAAACCACGTTGCTTTATGTCTCTTTCGAACTTGATGCTGTTTAAGTCAGACCTGAAGTCAAGGAACCAGGTTTACTTAGTGTGGCAAGAGTCTCGTGCTGTCAGGTCCAGGTTTACTGTGCAACCTGTTATGCTCGTGGTGTGATAAGGCTTGTGTTTTATTCTTATGGTTTCAGATACAATACGATACTTGTCGCTGCATGACAACAAATACATCCGGTATTTCCCGGGGCACACAAAAAGGTAAGATGTCATCTGCAGAACAGTACAGGAGAGATGGAAATAATGGTTGTCATGAGTATGAATTGTGTTAGACTCAACTGAGGCTCCTTCTCTTGGTAGAAGAGTACTCATGGGGAATTAGAAACTTGCATGCAACTGTTGGGCTAGATGTTGCATCAGGATTCATGTGCTCCTCTGTGTTACAGAGTGGTTGCCCTTTCAATGTCTCCAGTGGATGATACTTTTATTTCTGGATCTCTCGATAAAACTATTCGACTTTGGGATCTCCGCTCTCCAAATTGCCAGGTAGGAATATCAAATTCATGGGTGCATTTTTGTGCATTAGGGAACATTCTTTTGGCTAGAGTGGTGTGCAGTGGCTGCGTACTTGCTACAAAAACAAATACTGCCACTCTAACATAGGCTGCAGAGTTAGCACTGATGCCTCCCTGGAATGCTGAAGGAATTTGGATCATGAATCCTTATGAAATATTAGTAACATTACTCACTTTGACCCTTATCTCTGTGCTGGAGAGGCCCTGGGAAGAGCAAGAAGTAGCACCCAGAGCTGATGAAACAAGAGAAGAGCTGGATGTCATCAGTTTGCTAATCAGGCTGCTACACGGTGCAACGAGTGTGCTCTTCTAGCAGGCATCTCTCCTGGGCTGGGCATGGTAACAGAGCAGGAATTGAGAGACTTATTTTATTGGAGTGTCCGTAGAGTCTTTGTGCTCAAAGTCAATATCTCAGTGCCATTAAATGTGATGAAGAAATTGGAGGTCTAAAACAACTACTGTAAGGTCTGTTCACCGCTTGTGCTGCCTTTTTTTATTGGTGCCACCTGTTAGAGTAGAGTCAATAGTTTTTTGCTTTGTTCAGAAATTATTTTCTTATTTTGCTGGAATACGGTATATTTTTTTTTCTTTTGCTTGGAACACGCTTATGTGGGCTGAGAAACATTGTACTTTTGTTGTATTCCCCTTTCTTAGTGGGACCAAAGTGTTGGTAAGAGGGGCAGGTACTGATGCCAGCTGGTACAACTGTAAATGCAAAATGAATCACAGAACAGTTGAGGTTGGAAGGGACCTCTAGAGATCATCTAGACCACCCCCCTTGCACAAGCAGGGACACCTAGAGCACAAGGCACAGGGTGGCATCCAGGCAGGTTTGGAAAATCTCCAGAGAAGGAGACTCCGCAGTCTCTTTGGGAGTTACATTTCTGACAAAACTGTTTTTTTACCTTAAAAACAAGTGTTTTTTTTTAAACTTAGAAATCTTAATTCCACCCTTTCCTGGAGGCGTGCTCTAAATGAGCTGCTCACCGTTTATTCTTGCTCATGTGTAAATTTACTTTGTAATGCTTCTCAGTGTAGGAGTTGCAACAGATAAAATTGTAAATTCCTTGGCAGCTCTGTGATTTATGCTAATGCCTGAAAATATGAGACTAGCAGAGCCAGGACTTGCAGGTAGAAGCTGCATCCTGGAAAGTTTGGGAAGCACGTATGGGGAGTGACGCTTGTCATTCCCAGTTTGCCCATGGGATGGCAGCCGTCGTGCGGTGAAGCAGTGCAGAGGAGTCACAGCCGTCCTGCTCACGGTGGCATTTTGAGTGTTAGATTCCTTACTGCCGGCTCTGGAGCTCTGTACAGCCACCTGGAGTAGTCAGAGTTGCTTTTGTTTGAGGAGCTGATGCCTGAAATTTTTGTAAAACTCTGTATTTGTGATAAACTTGCAGCTTTCAGCCTGTAGGTTGCTGTCCTGCTCACAGTGGGATCAAAGGGTGTTGCTGGAAACGAGCGCATCCATTTAATGAAATAAACTGTACCGCTCTACTTTTTAGGGTCTTATGCATCTCCAGGGGAAGCCTGTGTGCTCTTTTGACCCCGAGGGGTTGATTTTTGCTGCTGGAGTCAATTCTGAAATGGTGAAGCTTTATGATCTCCGCTCTTTTGACAAGGTAAGATATGCGCACTTCGTTTCTTATGCCTTTTAGCTCCCCAGAAGTATCTAAACCCATCATTCAGCATCCACGCTTGCTTGAAACACTGGGTCGCCGCTAGCTGTTACCTGGGGAGTTTTGGTAAGTAAGTAGAGGCAAGTTCATGGTTTCAGCAGCATGGTTTCCTGAAATCCACTCCAGGATCAGGTTTGCTTCAGCCAGATCTTTAACTTGTTTCAGACCCCTGTTTGGGGTGGAGGGGTTTTCTTTGGTGAAGAGCGTTAGGAAAGATGGACAGACCACGATCATTGGGCGGGCACCCAAACTGGATACTGGCTGAAGCTATGCTTGGTGCTAGTTATTGCCACTGACTTTCTAAAACTGTGCCACAAGTTCCTAGTTTAGCTTCAGTAGGCAGCCTTGCTGGAAAATGAAAACTTAACCATGCCTTAAATTTCTTTTCTTGGATGTAGTAGGATTGAATTCTCTTGAAACTGGACTGGCAGTGAACCATGGTTGTGTGTGCGTCTCCTGTGGGAGTACGAGATACTGAATGATGACTCTGGAAAGCCAGGGCTTCACACTTCTTTTTGAAACCTATACACAGTGGCAGGTTATTGCTGTAACGTTTTTCTTTGGCTGGTAGCTTGTGTTTTTCTGTTCTATCAGGGTATGCAGCTTTTTTTTTAAAAAAAAAAAAAAAAAAAAAATTTTCTTTGCTAGCAGGAATAGTAGCCTCTTTTTAGCAGTGATGCATGCAGTCTGTCACTTTTCCTCTTCTTTTTTTCCTTTGAAGGGTCCATTTGCTACCTTTAAAATGCAGTATGATCGAACATGCGAGTGGACAGGTTTGAAGTTCAGTAATGATGGCAAACTCATCCTCATATCAACCAATGGAGGCTTCATTCGACTGATTGATGCTTTCAAAGGAGCTGTCCTGCATACGTTTGGGGTGAGCACATTTTCTGTATTACCTGCTTGAAACTTGGTGCTAAGAACTTGATGGGGGTGATGTGAACCCAGTGGCAAACAGCTAAGATGGTGCTTTGTGTTGTGGGCTAGATCTCTCCCTTCCTGTTGTGAATGACAAGGTATGGATTTCAAAGGAGGCTGCTTAACATATGGGCTGACAGGTTGTCTGGTTTGTCTTGAACTCGGGACATTCTTTAAACCTCTATTTCCACTTTAAAAGCTTGTCTGTGTCTCCTTTTGGTACAGATGTCTGTTTCCTCATCAGTGAGGAAAAGGTAAATTTAGGCCCGTTATCACCAAAAAACAGCAGTCCTGCTCCTCTCTGCCCTCAGAGCCCTGCAGGGCCATAGGGAGGAAGGTGCCCTTTGCTGTGAGCGTGTGGACGTGCTCTCTGCTACATGGTGTCCTGTTTTGTGCCCTAGGGGTATAACAACAGTAAGGCTGTCACGCTGGAGGCATCCTTCACGCCAGACTCTCAGTTCATCATGATAGGTAAGATGATATCCTTAGCATTTACGTGTTCTGAAACCAGATGTGTTGCCTAGGACTAAAAGAGTGTCTCTGGGACTAGCATATATCTAAATAATACAAGGTAACCCTAAGCTGCAGAGTCCTTTTGCTGTGCAGCAAGGTCTGAGAGGTGGGTGGCAGGAAGCAGCTGCAGCTCCTGTCAAAGCTGGTGCTGCAGGTTGGGCACCCCGGGCATGCGCTGCCCTCTAATGCTTCTGTGGGGTGTTGTCCCTCTAGGCGTTTTCTTTTTATTCTCTGTTTGCTCATGGCTCTAGCTGGTATGTCAAATTGTTTAATTTACTGGCAATTGATAGACTTTTTTTTTTCTGGCCAGGAATTTTCTGCTTGTGCCCTTCCAAACGAAAACTGCAGTAGGAAGAAAATCTAAAGTGCTTATTCCTGTTCATTTTTTACTTATGCTTAGCGTGCAACTTGTGCTGCTTATTTTTTTGCCTCTGGAAGGGCGTACAGAGAAATATGGAAGCAGAAGAAAATTCTGTGCACTTTTTATTAGGAATCCTACTTAAGATGAGACTAAAAGAGACTTAATAGTAAAAATGCTAAGTATGCAGCTCCTGAGCACTGCGATAGTGAAAGCTTGCCGGCATAATTAAAATGAAAAGCTTGCTCTGCTGAACTCATTAAGGCAGTGATATCTCTAATGAAGCTTCTGCTAGTCAGCATAATGTGTTGATATCTGGTTATCTTCAAGCCAAAGCCTTTGGTTTGATTTTGTGCTTAACTAGTCAAATGTTTATCTGTGTGTGGACCTCTCCAGTGTATCTTCTGTATCTTGATTTGTGTTTTTGTTTTACTCCTGCTCACAGGTTCAGAGGATGGCAAGATTCATGTTTGGAATGGGGAAAGCGGCATGAAGGTGGCTGTGCTGGATGGGAAACACACGGGTCCTATAACCTGCCTGCAGTTCAATCCAAAATTCATGACTTTTGCTAGTGCATGTTCCAATATGGTAAGAGATAGGGTTAAGTTCCTCTAGTGCATTCATGTCCTGGCCCTTTGGAGTAAAGCTGAGAAGGCCCCGGGCTCTGCCAGTGCTCCCTGCCTCACTGCAGGTCCTGGCAGACCTGGGCTTGAGCAGATGCAGGGTGACAGCACAGTGGGTGAAGGTGCTTTAGGTGGTTATAATGTGACTGCTGTGTTGGCTTTTTATGCCTGGCTTGCTCTAGAGAATGTGCAGAGCAGGGCAAGCAAGAATTGTAATCTAAACTGTTGGGGCACTGCTTCCTTGTGGGCTCTGCCCATGTGTATGCAGAAGGGAGCAGCAATGGACTCCTGACCCGTGCTGCAAGGAGGCCTGTGTTCTGCTATGTAAAACATGTTTTTTTCCTCTTTTGCAGGCCTTTTGGTTGCCAACTATCGATGACTAATTCCTACGCTGCAGCTGCTGCCAGGTGACATCCCTAGTGCTAACAGCAGCCTACTCTCCCAAGGATAGTGTTGGGATTGCTTAGCTCTCCTCAACTGTTCCCACTCCTGTGTTATGTTTCCATATGTCTTACCTTTGTTTGCTGCATTCCTTTGCAAGGACTCCTCCACTCAACCTCCTCGTTTGTTCAGAAGCAGCATGTGGCTCTTTCTTACCTTCCAGTCCATTCCCACCTGAGGCTGGAGCTGGCACGGTATTATTCCTGAGCAACGGAGTCCAATTTATTTATAAAATGCTTGTGGCAGTTTTTAATCTGTAATTGTGTTCTTTTATTTTTCCTGTAAATGTACAATGTTGTTGATGTTCCAAGGTTGAACATGCAGTTTTTTCCCCCCACGAGCGCGTGTTTTAACATCGGGAATTTTTGATTTCATTGTGGTCTGCGGATGCAGAGTTACTCCTGTGCCAAACATGAATGCTGACTGTTTTTAACTCAGATAGTAGATGCTGGGTGCTTTTTGCAGCTGAACACGTGCTGAAAGTTTGTGACTGTAAATAAGCATTACATGGCCTATCATCCTTTTTTTGTTGTTTTAGTGTGCAGCAAAACATAGAGGTTTTCTCCACTGCCAGAGCTTGAAGGAGTCTCCTTTGCTGTGGCAGCCTCCCCGAGGCACACGCAGTGCTGAGGAGATCTGGTCAGTTTCCAAGCAATATAGGAGGTTGACGGCAGCAAGCTGGAGAAACCGAGCGAGGATTGAAATAGTCTGCCCATGTGTCTTTCTCATGTATCATCCTGGCTGATCTTACTTGTAAATATTGGAGGGGAGGAGGGAGGGTAGTGGGAATGGGCCATATTTTTTTACTTTTAGATATTAAAGAATACGATGTGGGCCAGTATTGTGGGCTGTTTAGGCTGTTTGCCTTCACCGATGCAGTTATCCCCTCCTGGTTTGTAAATAAGCTCCGTTAAACTCTCCCAGCCCAGGTTTAGAGCCACATCCCTTTCGCGGGTGGAAGGGGCGTGCACAGCTAGCTCAGCGCGCGCTTTGTCACAGGTCGTGCAGGTTTTCGGTGAGCGCTGGAGGAGCTACTCTCTCTTGCCGGACAGAGTCTGCAGAACTGAATGCAAAAGCTGTTCCAGGTGCAGTGTGACTTGGCTCTGCTGTGGCCTGGCTCCAAGGAATGTCCCTCTGGGAGACAAGAAGGGAATGCGCTCTCACTCCAGGGAAGCTTGCTGGGGTACAGTGCGAGGCAGCCTTCAAGCACTGCCCCGAGAGGCAGCCGGGAGGCTGGGAAAGGCCCCGTGTAGACACGCTGATCCTCGTGCCCCTCCTTTGCCAAACACTCCTGGTTTGATTTGCTGGGTCACGGCTTGGAAAGCAAGAGCTTTCCCTTGCCTTGTCGCATGCACTTCCCCTCTCCTAAATACAAAAGCTTGGAAAGGTGACAAAATAAACGTGGAAATGGGTGTGATCTGTGCGCTCTGAGTATCAGTGCATGCTGAAAACAGTGCTGTCATGTTTTACCTTAGGTAACTGGTCTAGATGTTCCACGTTAAAGCCAAATTTCTTAGCTGTTGGGCCCTGTATATAATTCAGAGCATGTCTCCCTGGAGAAGCAAATTGGCCCGTAGAGCCGCTTCCCTGTCTTGCTTTCTCTTGCATTTTCACAGCCCTTGTGGGAGCGTTTGGGGCTGCCGGGTGAGCACTTGTGCAGCGCTGGCCCTGGGGACACTCGAAGCCCTCTGCGCTAGCATCGTGTGTGGTGTGAGCCAGCCTGCCCAGGCCAGAGGAGGGAAGAGGGGCTGGACTGATGATGCTGGAGATCTTGCCAAGCAGCGTCTGCTGCTGGAGTTAGGTGCCTTGGTGTCCCTGGTGTGCGCAGTCCTGCTCTCACCCCCAAAATGCCCAGGGCAGAGGAACACGGATAGCTTGGTCCCCTGCCATGAGGAGATCTCCCCAGTACTTCCCGACCTCAGGACTGCTGCATCCCGGTGCTATTTCACCATTGTCGGTGTCTGTGAGCGGTGCTTTCTAACACAACACGCAGCTCCTTGGGGTTGGTGGTGCGTTTTAACTGCTTGACCTTGGCCTTTGGTAGCAAATGGGCTTGGAAGGTTTTGCAAAGTCCCTTGGCTAACAAGGGAAGCGAGAGCCCCCAGCTGTGTTTGTCATAACTTCCCCAGGCAAGCGTTTGGAGGCTTTTTCTTTCTAAAAACGCTCTTTGCTCATGTTTTGCACTGGTTTGAAGACTGTTGTTCACTTCTCTTCTGCTTGCAGTGTTGTAAATCTCTGTGCATTGCAGCATGAAATGTTTTTTTTTTTCCTTTTAATCAAAGTGCTGATCTAGAAGGATGCATGTAGTGAGAGCATTGGTGGCTTTCTGGGGTGGAGGTAGTTTACAGGTTCATGCACAACACAACCCTCGTGCAGTTCAAAATTAAACTGGGTGCTTTTCCAGGGCCTGTTGCCACCCATGTGGTAGCCAAGATCTCTTTTTGGCTCATGGAGTGGTGAACACTTCCCGTCCACCTTTAGGAGATGGAAATGTGCCAACGGCAGTAAGAACCTGCAGTACCAGTTGGTTCTATAAAATGAAATGGCATTGAAAGGTGAATAAAGGTATTAGCTTCCAACTTTTACATGCTTCTCTAAAAGTACCAGGACTGTAAGTGTTACGCTCTTAAGGTTGCCCAGAAACATCAAAACATAAAAATATCCCTCGCGTGTCTAATAGAGTACGCAGCCCCGTGTAGAGCCAAGCAGAAAATAGTTTCCATTCCCCCAAAGTTGAGATTTAAAAGATGACCCCCCCGTCCTGCTCTGGGATGGAATAAAGACCTCCCTTCAAAATGAAGGATGTGCCGGACTCGTCACCCGCCGCCTAAACGAGCAGCAGCCTTGGGCAGCCCCTCTGCTCGGCTTGTAGGAAGCTTGGGTGTCATTCTCCACGTCGAGACGTCGTTTCAGACTCCTCATCCTTGGTTCGTACCCCGGCCTCCGCTCTGGGGGACAGAGAAATCCAGTAAAGAAATTTGGCAGCAGCAGTGCATCTTTCCCCATCTCACTTCTGGCTATATGTGCACTTTAAGAGTCTTCACCTTATTTTTTTTGGTCAGAGGTTAGGGTCCTGTTGAGCCTTTCAGAGAAGCTGTTCTCCTTGGTTGTGAGCTGGTATTGTGAATTTAACTCCTAGATGGGATCTGCCAGATAAGTGTAAATATATATGAAGTGAAATTATGCTTTGTCACAGAAAACTACATATGTGGATAATTCAATGTTGTGGCTGTTATCAATAAATATTTTGTAGACAGATTACTGAGTACTGTAAATTCTGCGTTCATCCAGTGTGATACAAATTGTTGGTTTCTGAGAGGGGAATGAGAAGAATCGTGTATTTTAAAAGCACCTTGGTTATGGAAAGGCAAATTCTGCAGCGGAAAACGTGATGCATCTAACACTATCTCTGCATTTATTGCCCCTTTCAGGAGGATTCTGTGGCCCAGGAATGTGCCAGAGCAGGGAAGCTGCTTGTCTGATGTGTGGTGTTCACAGAAGCCTGTGATGGGGCTGCAAGGGCAGAGCCCTCCCCTGGGGCTGAAGAAACAGCTTCTGGATTCAGAGTGAGACAGGCTTCACAGGTGCTTACACTCAAGTTGCTGGATGTGGGTGGCAATGTGGGGTCAAACTACATGTGCAGCATTTTAAGCACAAGAGGATGGGGAAGGAGTCAAGCTGCAGATAAGTCTTCTTGTTATAGCGCTTGCTTAAACCATAAGCAGAGACCTGGGAAGGCTCCCCCCTTCTTTGACCCAGGTTCTTGCAGCAGGAAATAAACATTTGCTAGCTGCCTCTCACAGTTTAAACAAAATACAACAAGTTTAGCATTCTGAAGGAAATACTCCCCCACTCTTCTCTGGCCATCTCTTTCAATGTCAGGTCTGTGCAAAACCTCTGACAAGATTAAAGCTGTTAAAAGTTAACAGTGAAATAAGTTGTTAAATACTAGGACTTTCATCCTTACAGAACTGGAGCACTTGACAATCAAATACTGGGGTTTGTCTTGTTCCCCTGGGTAATGTTGCAGGGTGTATAAATGAATGATAAAAACAAGAATTGGGATTTGGGAAGATGGGAGACTTGTCCACATCCCAAGTGACCTGCCCAATGAGCAGGTTCCAAACCAGCCCAGTGCAGTTCCCAGCACAATTCAGTCTGGCCCATCTTGCTCCCTGCCCTCCCTGGTGCCGCAATGAGCATAGTGTTTGTAATGCAGCACTCAGACACATTGGAAAAACTGCTTTTATTTTCCTTAGAGGTCTTCTAGCAAATGAGCTGATGTACTGAATTGCTTGAGATCTCATCAGGGCTACTGCTCCAACAGCAGCCTCGCTGTGAATGACACCTGAATGAACAGAAAACTGTTGAGGGTCGTGGACTTCTAACAAACCTTTGTTAGAAGTACACACATTGCATCATTTGCCATATACTTAATGCTCCTAAGTAACAGCAAGGCCTGTACCCTTCTTTGTAGCTTCATCTGCTGACAGCATCTTGTTCTGAAAGGGCGCTGCCTACGGGAAGCAGCTTTCTCCCTGGAAGGGCCCTAGGCAACTGCTTCAGTGTTTGGGCTGCATGGGGCAGGCACGGCCTCGGGTGACACTGTCCTGGCAGTGACAGCTCCTCTTGCTGTAGATCTTGTTCAACAGCAAGTGGCTGAGGGCCCTGCAGCCTGTGCAGCCAGTTTGATTGGATTAGTGTCCAGCTCTTCGGGAGCCTGGCTGGATCTCCTGTGCAAACCAAAAAGGTGGGGGAGGTCATGAGGATGTGGATTGGAGACTAACTGCACCTGAAGACGTTAGGAATTGGGCTCTTTCGTGGCTGCCTTTGAATCTCTCAGCACAATAGAGGGAAAGGAGCAAAAGGAATGACTTGTTGCCCCCTGTTCTTTCCTTGCATGTTCATAAAGAGTTAATTTTCTTGATCCTCTTGTACATGATGCTGCCGGAGCATTCTCAGGTTCCACGGGAGGTGGTTTTGCTCGAGAAGTGCACCTGCACCACGAACTTCCCTGTCTTGCTTTGAGGCCGAGTGGCTCCGCAGTAGGGGAGCACTGTTGGCCATGCTAACACTTCACATCCCTGTTGTGCAGGGGGATGACGAACACAGAGATGTCATCGTAGGATGCTTCGTGGCTGTCATCCAGCATCCACTGGTGGCCTGT